CACACACACACACACAACCCACCACAAACACACACACCACACCACAAGAACTCAGTATCACAGGAAATGTTTTCCCCTCATATCTCAGTAAATTAAATTAATAGGCAATTCCCTGAATTGCACTCTTTAAGACTCATTTGGAGTTGAGTTCACGTGTATTTCTGTGCAGATTTCCGCCTTTCTTTGACTGTGATCACTGTACTGACTGACATTGTCCACATTTTGTATCATACTTCCTCTCTAAAAACCGCATTCTCTTAAACTTCAAGTCAAAAATGTCTCATCCAGCCAAGCTGTACAGTGTGCCACTCCAACTCTACCTTGTGTTTATCGGCATTTAGCACTAATGTTCAAGCTCTGAGCTAAAAGCTACAGTTTCTCTTCAACTCCTGCCTCTCAATTGGTGGAGAATGGTCAGCTGACATTGTCATATTGTCTCTCACCGAGCCAAGCCTCGGCTATAACACTCGGGTTTGTGCGTCTTAACCGGAGATTGGAAATTAATAATATTGAATCCTCAAAGTAGCCCACGTCCAGTTAGAGAGGCAGAAAGTCGAGAAAAAAAGAGAAGACCTTGGAGAAAGGTGTGGTTGGTTGACACAGACGGGGAAGGAGATTTACTGAGAAGGAGATTGAAAAGAGACCGATAAAGAAGTGGGGAGAGTTGGAGAGAGGGTTACAAGCAAGGTATGAATTCTTATTTCGCAAACCCGTCGCTCTCCTGCCATTTATCCGGTGGTCAAGATGTTTTGCCTAACGTACCCCTAAACTCCACCACCTATGACACAGTCAGACATTTTTCGTCGTACGGTGCTGCTGTGACCCAGAATCGGATATATGCACCTTTCTACTCTCCTCAAGATAATGTCGTTTTTGGGTCTGGCAGGGCACAGTATGAATATGGATCAAACGTGTTTCTTCAAGACAAGGACGTGCTCCCCAGTTGCAGACAAACAAACATGGGACTCAATACACAAAGCCACATTGCTCAAGAGTACAGTTTGGATCAAGGAAGAGCAGGAGCGCAGGATCAGAAAAGCAACATCCCGATCTACCCGTGGATGCAGCGAATGAACTCACACAGCGGTGAGTTTTACTACGACAAATAAATTAAGGAAATGGGCCAGTTTTACGATATGTCTTACCAAGAGAGTAAGTTACTTTTTATGGCCCCATAAAACATTACTGTATCCCCTCGACCTGTAGATGGGCCTTTGCATGTGCAAACAAACAGCTTTCATTTTAAGACAGATATAGTAGCCATAATCAGTAGCGTGAGGCAAAGAGAATATATTATGATGCTTTCATTATTTTAGATAACAGAAGCAAAGATGCCCTCTGAGATGGGATTTGTCTTGCAGTTAAAATGTGTTTATTTTTCTTTGTGGATTTGGATTACAATTAGCATTCTAGCAATGAGGTGAAACTTATGCTCAACTGCCTCAAAGTATTATTAGACCACAGACAGAAGCATGTTTTTTTTATTTTTAATGTCAAATGTGACTTCGCCTTACAAATGATTAAATTAGTGTGTTCACTTTGTATCTCAGCAGGAGTGGGCTACGGGACAGACAGACGCAGGGGACGTCAGATATACTCTCGTTATCAAACACTTGAGCTGGAGAAGGAGTTTCATTTCAACCGCTACCTGACCAGGCGCAGACGCATTGAAATCGCAAATGCGCTTTGTTTAACAGAGCGGCAGATCAAAATCTGGTTTCAGAACCGACGCATGAAATGGAAGAAAGAGAGCAACCTGACCTCCACGGTGACTGGAAGTGAACAGACAGGAGCCTCTCAAGAGGGGCAGGAGGAACGCAATGGCGCATTGGAAGAAGAGAAGGATGAGGACAAGAAGAAAGAATAGTTTTAAAAAGAGGAAGAGGAGGGAAACAAACACCTGATGACCATTAAAAACCCAACATAACTACCTAAAAAATCTACATGGACTTGAGAGCGACTTCACTGCATGATGGCTACCCCGCAGCTCTCCCACTTATACCCCATGTTGACCACAGGAGTGTTAAGCCTTAGAAATCCAAATTATTTCAGCCACACTATGGCCCCTGTGACATTTGGAGCGCTGTTTTTTTTATTGCAATGTCACACTTGTATTGTGAAAATAAAAATAAGTATTAATTTCTGTTATTTCCCACGCCAGTAAAAAATCTATGTATTTATCCCCACACACCCCGTGCATCACTGTGAACCCTTTGATCACCTCACAAAATACAGTGTTGGTCAGACTTAACTCAGTATTGTAAATGCACATTCCACGGAAGGAAAGAAACGGACGGACACTTCATTTGATCTCAGTATACTTGAATCGTCCACACAAAAAGTGTCCTGCATAATCATGAAAGTTGCACGGATAATAGACTACAGTCCACAAACACACACGACTGAAATGCCTGTATATAATCAAAGTAACAGTATATATTATGTCAATCTTGTGAGGACTTATGTGCATTTAGCCGCTTTGATAGACGCTGCATAACATAATATTGCGCTTAGTCCCCTTTTTTTGATCATTTGACACAATAGGCTTCCCTTGTGAGATAGATTTGTACACTAGTAATTCTTCACATTTGTTTGGGAGTTACGAATTCATGTTTTGTCATAATTGTGTATCATGGAATAAAATATTTGTAAAACTTTCACCCTCGTATTGTGTTTTTGGGAGCTTTGTATGCTTCTTTCTGATGAGCCAGAAAACCGTATAAAGAAAGGTTTCCTAAAATACGCACCAAACTTAGTGCGTGATTGTAGAGGCTTAGTATTGCATTAAGATTTTTATTATCATGACCTTTATGGTCAGCAGGGGCTGTAAAAGCAAGTGGGCAACAAACAGCCTAATTAAGTCATTTTAAAGCTAATTTTGGCCTCTTAAATATTAAAATGTTCAACTTTGTGATTGACATCATAGGTGCACGGGAATGAGCTATTGTCCAATATCCTGTTAAACACTATAACATTCCCGTAGCTGTATTACTATAACATAACCAGCGAAGTCCATATGCGTAAATATATTTTAACCAAGTGGGCACTTTAAATCATCACTTTTATAATTAATATGGTTATTATTATTTTTTGTTGTTATTATTATTATATGGGACTGTTTGTGGACTCACTGTGTGTCAGGGGCAGAGAGCTCTGGCCGGTCTTGACCGTCCTGCCCCATACCAGACACCAGATGACGCTCTTGTCTTACTGTCCTGCCCTTTTTGCGCTAAAGATCTCTGCCTGGTCCTCAACAACCAACAGCTCAAAGTTTACCGGACACGTTTCTCCTATTCATCAATATCCCCATTGAGTATCAAAGCCAATTTATGACTGGCCAACATGTGCACGTGATCCCATACAAATACCCCATATTTGGGCAGCGCACGTCGGATCAAGAATTAAAAAAAAGATACCAAAGCCTACTCCACCTATAAATCCTGGATTATTTTTTTAGGGCAGACAGCTCTGAATTTTCCAAAAGCGGCTACAAAGAAAAGCAATGATCAACAAAAACAAGGAAATAGCCGCAACATACGCCCCGCAGCCCTCTCTACTTTAAAAAGAAAGTGTCGGTGATAGTTAAAAATGAGCTCTTATGTTGACAGCTCCAATCTCAGGCAAACAAGCGAGACAACTTCTCCTAACACTATGTTTAGTTTCGATCTATCTGGGCGCAGGTCCAGCCGTTATGAGGGTGTTAATGTGAACGGGATATTCACTTGTCCCGTCCCCACGACCTCTGTTGAACGGGAGGAGATGAAAACTAGCCTGCGTGGCAGTACGGATACTCCTCTCCCGTCAGGACCACAGATAACCATGGTCTCCAGTAGCTCGTCCGTGGATGCCAGCGGGCTCAACTACGGCAGCAGCACGCTGCTGGGACTAGGGGCAGACATAGACCCGGAGAGGAGCGCAAAACCGGGCGGCAACAAGAGCCAGGAGGGCGAGAGAAACGCGGAGAACACGCAAACGATGAAACGAAGCACAAAAGTGAGCCAGCGGCAGGACAGTGAGCAGCGGCCACAGATTTATCCATGGATGACAAAACTGCACATGAGCCACGGTAAAGTTTGCCTATTTTCTAAAGTGCGACTGAGATGCTTTCCCTTATTCACTCTTTACGCTGCAACACTTCTTTTCGCCCGTTCCAGTTTCCCTCTTGAGTTTTATAGGCCAAACGCAGGAAATAATAAAAACTCGCGGTCATAAATTTTATGACAAAGGCATCCATTGCTCGTAAACCTGCTCTGTTACGGTGAAGAGGTGATCTGTGGGGTGATTTATGGAGGTATAATTGGATAAAAGAACCAAACTGTGATACAACTATGAAATAATATTTACAAATTCAGCTCAAAGTGTTAGTGTTTTGCCTTTGTTTCGTTTATAGTCTTAGTCAAGCTACATGCTTTACATGATCAGACTATGTGTGGGAGAAGCTTTAGCCTTAAATTGAACTCTGGGAAACACCAATGCCCTGACCCAATCATGAACTTTTCACCTCTAAAAGATTTGAATAGGCGTGCTCCTTCTCCATGCCCTGGAACCACTGGCTGCAGATGGACAGTGAGCAACATTTGCTGCAAAAAAGAAGCTATTCTTGTTTTGTGGTATGCAAACAGCCAGGAGCACACAGTGGAGATGATAAAAATATATTTCTGTCCAATAGCAAAGGCCTGTTACTTTACTTAGCACGTCTGTGCACGAGCAAGTCTATAAATAGGGAAATATATCTGGAAAACATCAGTTTCCATTTTCTAATCCCACTTCTTTTGATTTTACACATCTGTTTTTCCTCCCATGATATTATCACTCCTGTGCAGCGGTATTAGGCCGAGGCCAGTGTTTACAGGGAGGCCAACGCATTATTAGTTATCCCATTTTTACATATTACAACAAGATAAGATTCCTTAATTAATAGTCTTGTGTATTTTTTATGTTTTAATGTGAATGGGTGTAGAGGGCCCTTCTAGTATATTTATTAGATCTAGTTAACCATCCTTATCAGGCTGACATAAAATTTTATTACACAAATCCACAGTAAGTAATATCAGGTTAAATTAGGTTATATAAATATATTTGATCTTTTAAACGGGGATGTAAGGGGACATAAATTCATAGACTTGTGCTTTTAATGCTTATTTTTTTATGGCTAACCAGGATTTTTTTTTCATAGTGTAGTAATATTATTAGCCTATTATTCTATTTATTTACCTCTATAATGCTGCTGAAAGCTAACTGATTTTAATACCACTTCAGAATCGGAGGGTAAGCGGTCCAGGACCAGTTACACCCGCTACCAGACTCTGGAGCTGGAGAAAGAGTTTCACTTCAACCGGTACCTGAGCCGCCGCAGGCGCGTAGAGATCGCCCACACCCTGTGTCTAAACGAGAGGCAGATCAAAATCTGGTTCCAGAACAGACGAATGAAGTGGAAGAAGGACTCAAAGATCAAAGTGAAGGAGTAAAAGTGCACCAGTGAACGGGGTGCATGCAGCACGTTTTCAGCCCCACACTGCACAGTGCAGGAGTGCCGCCTGACCTCCGGATGAACTGCTAGGAGCAATGACATCATGACACCGCTCTGTGTGCTTCATCACCAATTATGTGTCACTTGCTGCAGTTTGGGACCTAATGTATTGAATATCACTCACTTTGATCAATCGGTTTACATTTCTAAATTAATTTGCTGCCCATGCGATGATAACCTCACTTTACTGCACGAAGGGGACACGAGGTTGAGGGGAGCTGGGGTCCTTCACGCTGCAAGGCTTTGCTCTGCAGTGCACTGAAAGGCTGCACAATGCTACTAATAATCTATGTTTTTTAATTAGGATAAAAGTAGTGGAGGCTGGGTGACAGCCTGCATCATGTCCAACTCTATATCATCGTCATGTGATAAAACTTCAAGGTCAGAATCAAATAAAGGCTGAACTATTTCTAACTCCTTTGGAAATCAGTTGAATAGTTTTTTCCACCAGTAAAAACTACTTTTCCCACCTCTTTCCTTTTCTTTTTTCAAATTAATGTCGCAGTGCAAACACGTTAGGCCGTGGTCGGATGTGTGTTGTATCCAGTGAGCTAATATCTTTGTGAGTGGATTTCTGTCAAAGGCATCGTCCATGTTGTCTGTCATATGTGAATCTAAATCATTGTGTATAATTCAACGACTGTATGTGATAATATTGTGATGTGCAATGAAGCCATTTCTCTTGCCCCTTTGTAAACTTTAAGGTGCCTGGTTTACACAAGGCCTGGAATAACTGATAGGATGGCTTAATTGTTGACTGTAACCAATAAAGTCTCATCATTAAAAGTGAGGAAAATACTATACTGTCAGTATGAACATTTCTGTTATTTTTCTGACATATAAGGGGTTTGTAGCGGACTCACACAGCTCACGCATATTTAATTACTTTTGTGCTTTAAGTCCACTGAATTAAACCACTATAGAAATTGTATTCCACCCCCCCTACTTCTCTTTTGTTTTGTCCTCCTGATCACGTTTTAAGTCTGGCTCGGAATCCACAGAATTTCATTGACTGACAAATGCGCTCTGAAGTTTAAGGCCCTCATAAAACTTTATTGCCCCTTTTCCACCACTCCACCACAGGCAGACTCCGTTTCCTGTTTGGTCAGGGAAGGAAGGGACACACTAGCCTGTGATAACACTCGCCCACAACACAACGTGGATGCAAAACTTTGGCTTCCTGTGGCCGCAGACTGACGCGCCATCACTGTCGAGGCCATATGGCGACTTTATGATATCGCCCTGCTCTTTAATCCTGGCATCATTACACTGTAGTTAAATCAACACTATCTGCTACTATGGAGGACATAAAACCATGCCAGTTGCTGGGTGTCTGTATTCGGCAGCAGCTTTTGTAGAAGTAGTAGTATGACGCAGTATAGCCCACGGTTAGGAGGTAATTTCTCTATAGCACTACTTAAAGAAAATAAAAATCAACTCACCTCTCAAACTAATAGCTTCCTATTCAACTTCCTTGACGGTTATGAGAACCGGTCAGCGCAGCGTCCACTTTCTCTGCGCTCTGTTAGGCCTAACCTATACATGGACAATGTATTGAATCCCTTTTTGTATGTCTTTCTTTTAGGGTATTTTAAAGTTTACAAGGTTACATATGCCAATTGCCCCAAGCAGGGCCTGTGAATGGTGCATAGGAAGCACGTGGTGTCATTTAAGTGGGTTTTATGGCCTGGAAGAGCTGACAAACCTTCGATATATACACATCATATATAATCTTAACTGTCCGGAATCGCAGCTGCTGGCTTCCCCTTATCTGAGGAAGAAAGGGCTTTGTGGCAGTGAGGATGCAGTACCTTTCTCCGGACTGTGTAGTCGGGTGGTGCGGAGCTGAGAGCTGCTGCAGTAAGTTGCTTTTTAACTTTGCCTTTACAGGCCTGCGATTGTGCCGTTATTTCACCGTGAAAGAATATAGTTTATATTAGTGTGACTTTAAATGCATGGTTGTTCAAATTATTAACTTCAGAATTAACGGTATTAATTGATAGTGAATATATGCGTTTTATAATTATAGAACAATTACATTTTTTTTAAATAATCGGGAACCTGTTCGTTTTTAGATGTTTTAGAGGATATCTGGTGTCGTACATTTCGTCGGACAGAAACGGGATAATACGGAAATACCGCTCATGGTCATTGTGTTGTCATGAGGTTTATTTTTTTTTCGCAGCATCATCTTTATATTTGTACCAGATTTTGATCGTAGGGAATAAAAGCAAAACGTGGATGTTTTAATGCCTCTCAACAGATTTGAGACACAGTGGCAGTCCGTTTGATTCAACAGTTTGTTTTGCATGTTAGTCCTGTCAGTAAGAGCACAGAAAAAAAACATTTTAAAGGTGACTGTGACGAAAATGAAAAGTCAGCCAGAACTATCAAAAATCATCTGGCGTCCAGCTTCACCATCCACCCCACCCTTTCCCTCTCCCTCTCTCTCTCTCTCTCAGACATAGACACAGTCCTAATGACTACCTACCTGTGTGTATTGTGAAGTACAATTTTGTGTTTAATACATAAAGTTTGGTTCAGTGGCGCAGATTCCAGAGAATGTGTTAGTGGAACAAATGTGTTGGAAATAAAATGTGACTTTTGTTTTGTGTGATGCAAAAATGTAGTCTTAGGGGTTAAAATACTGCACCATTAAAAAAGCTATAAAATACAAAAGCTCCTGATTAAAATGCTTCATCACACTGTTTCACCTTGACATAAGGTCAGTGTTTGTGCTCATGAGCTACTGTTGTTTTAGGGTCATGTCTGGGCCAAGGGACAGGTTTGATTCAAAGGCACTTTGCAGTGTAATTATTGTATCTTCCAGGCTCAAAGCCTGTGATAAACACACTGGATGGGAGCTGGAGGCATGGCTGTTGCATGTTTTACAAAATTGTACCTTTCTTGCACATAGAATATTTGTTTCTCTCCCTCATAGCCCTTCCAGCTTGTCCTCACTGCAGTGGCAGATATTACTGAATTGATCAGTTTGGAGACTGATGAGGCGATGTGATCTTATAAGCTCAATAATTTTCTGTTTCTGTGTAGTGCACATCATTTAATTGCCCATATGTCTTAGAAAGGAGTTCAGTGTAGAAATACTGGTCTTCTCTTAATCAATGTGTGGAATTGCAAATGTCTCATTTTGATATTAGCCTAAGTGTTGTGTCTGTGTTCAGCTGACAGAGCAAAGGTGCTGCAGTGCTGTATGCTGACTATGATGCAGCATTAACTGCATTAACCCACTTGTATATGTATATGTCACACTGTGTGATGGCATTCAGCCTTTGCTGTATTGTTTGAATTTTAAAAGAAAATCAGAATTACTCTTTCTGGTGTGCAGCATGATCAATTATACACTTCCAATAGGGGGCACTGTGTAACACACTCCTGTGTGGGTAATACAGTGTGTGTCCACGTAAGGGCATGGATTACAGCTCTTTCCTAACATTTTATTTTATTTTATTTTGCCATGTTGTTTAAGCAATGGTACTGTCTTGTACTGTAATGTATATTTAATATTACCAGAGGGAGAAAATTATGCTCCTAAAACTCCCCAAATACAATAAAAAATAATCCCCAAATTCAAAAAGATGTTTTCCTCTTTTCCTATAAATTAGAAACAAATTAGATCTGTCATATATATCATCAAGGAGGTTACAGGACCCTAATTATAATCGAAATTATTTTATTTTCTGAGTTTTCAGTATTTGCGTCCTGGGAGGAAGTGTGAATCAAATATTAATTTAACTTGGGGCAGAGACACTGCAGCTCAAAACAATCTAATATCACTCCAGTAAAAGTGAAACAGTCTAAACATCCGTTTTGTCTGCCATGTTCTGTGCTGTTGTATTCCTTTCCCTGACCTGTGGAGCTGACACTGTCATCATTCAATCCACAGAGGTCATTTCCGGGTGAGCACAGACTTCCTTTTGTCTGAGCCCAAATAAGAACCATAAAGTCCAATTACATCGTTTTCGAACACAGACAGAATTTATTTACAATGTGAAGACAAAGTCGTGATTTTTTATTGACTGTTCGCCATAATTCAGCCGCGCTGAAGTCCAGGGATTTCTATTCATAGAACATTTGCCCAAGGAAATACCAAAATGCTTGTAAATTTAGTTTTACTGTCTGAAAATGACCCGTCCTAAATTTCTGTCCTCGGTCCCAGTTCTGCAAGAGCCCCACACATGTCAAAGCTTTTCTAGGGCAGCTTCCCTTCAATTAGGCTGGATAACAGAGGAGATCAGAGGCAAAGGGACATACTGAAGGATCATTAAGATGAAATAATAACGCAACATATCAAAACGGTTCGTTGCAGTATTTGAAAATTAACTGGAGGAAACTTTTAGGGAAATGATTTATTGTGAAATAAATATGTGTGGCTTTTCGATTATTTTGTAACATTTGTTGCTCATATTTGCCTTTGATTCATTTTTATTTATTACTATTTTTTATTATATTGGAGCAATTTTAAATGGAGCGAAAACGAAACAATGCATCCCTTCATTTCAAACGCCTGATGTCTGTGACTTTACAAATACTTGCTCAGTTAATTTAGGGAATGGCCAGTGGATAACTTATTGATCTAAGATCTTTGCTTTTTTATTTTAAATGTAAATATTAATTTAAATTTAACAATTCGTATACTTTTGGCATTATTTGTCAAGCGTTTTAATTTTCCAGCTTGTTGCAAAAAGTCATTTTTTAACTTAAAGGAGTATTCTTGATCTAATTTTTCATTTCCCTTTTTTTTTCAGACAATTCATCGGGTTCAAAATGAGTGGGACCGTGGATTTATCAGTAAGTGTTATCCTTCGCCTATCCACCTGGCTTTAGTCAAGAGATGTGACACTTCATGGAGCTTGTTATTTGGCTGTAGGCAAACAGCTGGCTCCACATCAAGGGTACTGAACACTTATCAAATTTGTTTGAGGGATTTTGGTGTTGATATAAGGACTGCGGTTTAACAATGGGTGTTTTTACTTCCAAATAAATGTCGATTTCAGTTTTGCATTTTCAAATATTAAATGCTTAAACAGAGACAAACATAAGCTCGAGGTATTGTCCTTCTGCAGACTGCAGTAGCCAAAAAAAAAGTTGCAGTATGAGTCTAATGAACCACAGCATTGCTAGAATGAACTGCAAACCAACCAATGGTTTCTGTGGGGGCATCTAGTATCTAAAACCATCTCTGCTCCCCTGGCTGCTGCTTTTTGAGAGTATTCATATTCAACTAGTCTCCAGTCTGTCTGCACTTCATTAAAACTTTTTATTTTAACTGGACGATCCAGCTTAACGTTATTACACCTGGGGAGAGTAAACGTGTAAAGGCTATTAGGTTAAGGGTTTGATTAAACGCGCATCGTAACCATTTTCATCAGGGAGCGGAATATTGCTCCACTGTCTGCATCCAGGTCAGGTGCTGCTGGGCCACCAAATTAAAAAACAGCCAGGCATGGACAGAACAACAACCTCACATAGTTTTGCACAGATTTATTCTGTTTACATATGTACATGTGTGAACACGCTTGTACGGCTGTTATTTTGCAGGGAGGGAAAAAAAAAAGAAAAAAAAGAAAGCTTAACAATTTCTCAAATGAACAAATGAAACATCAAATTAGTCCGCCTGAGGGCCTCATTTTTTGTACTTCTACATTATAACTAGTTATTGAACTAGGTGCACGATCTGAAAGCCATTTGTGGGGAGAAAGAATTCATTGCTGTCTCTCCATCAATAATCCTTGGCAGTGAACTATTGGAACCAGTCAAACGCGAGGGGTGAAACGCGGGTCAGGCTGTCTAACTAATATTAAAATGCGTCCGCCAGAGCGCACGGGGGAGAGAGGGAGTCTGTGGTGTGCGTGCAGCTCTGTCACACTGCTTTGGTGCACAACAAACAGCGTGTATTTAGATGAGCATATGACAAAGCCAAATGAACATGAGTTAGATTTTATTTGTGACTATTTCCTGGTTAGTTCGCTGTGTGTTGGCCCAGGATGCTTTGTTCTTCAATCAAAAAAAATCTATCGAATTGATACAATCAAACAAAACAAATTGAATGCACGAGGAGAAATATGTAGATTAAGATGTTTTTTGACAGTGTTTGAAGTCCCCTGTGCCTCTCCACTGTAATCAATTCCATTGATTCACAATCTGAGCATGTTTGCTGTTTTTAATAACCCCGAAACAGGTCACATGTCTGGTATTGCATTTTTCATCCGAGGCTTTTCTCATTAGCTTCCAGAGTGGCAGGAAGAAAGGTTACTGAGCGGTCAGTATGGTAATAGCAAGCAGAAGAAATGGTGGGGAACAATAGAAACTTATTTTTCATCTGTGCTGTCACGCCGTCCCTTTGTATCCGCCGTGTTTGTGACTGAATATTCATATAGGAGCTACCTCAAAGGCAGAGGTTGAATGTTAAGAAAAGAGACCCTCTTGTCCTTTGCACACGACGTGATTGTGTGTGTGTGTGTGTGTGTGTGTGTGTGTAGGCATATTTGTGTACGCGAATTGGAGAAAAGATGTTAAAGTGGTAGTTTCTGTCATTGTGTAAAATGTATTAAGGGCAGAGCAGATTTAGTTTGTGTTTGTGGCTTCAGCAACCCTGATAAACAGCCTCCGCTTTGGCGCACGCATTGTGCAGTATTTCTCCTCTATTGCAGCCTCAATATTTGTTATGACACTGCTCTCAAATGCATGCCAGTCCCATTTCAGCGTGGGGACTTGCGGGAGAGGATCACCTTTGCAGACTCTTACCTAAAACACATTAGTTGTCTATATGTACCCTGTAGAACCGAATTTGTGTGAAGTACAAACAGTCGCAAATACGTCTCTACAGGAATACATGGGCAACTGAAATACTACGCCAGCCAATGGATGCTCCTGCTTCTGCTTCTGCTTCTGCTCGTCTGCATGTCTCTCTGCCTTGTCCCTGCTATTGCATACACAAGCATCAGTGATATACACATGCATCCTACATTCAGGCTCTAGCAATGCAATAACATTGTCACAAAGTGTATTCATAGTCCAGACAGCCATAGATTGTCTAGGTAGGCCACAGAGAGCAAAGCCATGTGTGCAGTGTGCGGCTACTACTGTGTCAGACCCTGTAAAACACGTTAGGAACCAGGGGTCGTTTAAAAGTGACTGATTTACGGCTTTTATTGCTCTATAAAACGCCTCTAACATCCTCGCTAGGGGTAATAGAAATGTCGTGCGCATTCTGTACAAACAGGACAGCCAGAAATACCTTTTTCACGTCATTTTTTTTACCAATATTATGTAATTATTGCAATGAAAATAGATACATCCGGTAACTTTCAATTTGGTGCTGTTGTGGATTGACTTGTGTGCTGCTTCTGTTCAGGCTTTATATGTCTTTTATATGCCGCGACGTTTGTGAAACGTGTTATTATTATTATTATTATTATTATTATTATGATTATTATTATTGGATATTTGTTGTACTTGTAATTTAGGCTGTTGATGACCCTACACCTATTATAACAATAACAAAAGAAGAATACAATTATCTGGATGTTGTTGAGAGGTTGTTAAGCTATAAGGGAGTCAACCTTTCTCTCTGTCTCTTTGACCCGAGCTGACTCTGTTGGGATAAGAATGGGAAGCACACAGCACATGACAAGTTTATACAGCCAGGCAGGATCAGTTTACAGTGGAGCAGCAGACCTCCAGTAATGTGGCTTATGGTCACTGCTTCAGCTATGATTAGCATGTAACATTTGTAGGCTGTATATCCAAAAGGCAGCAAGACAGCAAGTGTTATTGACATATTCTTATTATTTTCTATATTATATTTGTATATATATTTAGCACAAGTGGAACTATAGTTGAAAGCAAAATATAGCTTGTAAACTTGTTTGTACACATATCAGTTGCAATTTATTTCTATACATTGCAATATTCAAATTCTTACTCTCAGTATTTTCTTTCATAACATTTGGTTTGTAGCTTGTCCATACACAGATTCAGTTGATGTACATACATGCTTTTATTTAGGCCATAACAAAGCTTTCAAGTGAAAAAAAAGTCAAGGACTTTTCAATGTTGTAAAAACAGACAGCCATGAGGAGATGGAAAGAATACAACCAAGATATGTATTTTTGTCAGAAAAAGCCCCAGCAGAATTAAAGGATTTGTATTTGGTCTTATTTTGTAAATCTGCAAGCAAGCCATCTCTAAGCAGGACTGCCCTGGATGTGGGAGGGCTCTTTTATCTGATGTGAGGGAGTACAGCTGCTCCTAAACGCTCTTACTCTCTCTGGTCTGCAACAACCAAATGTAACTTAACTTCTCTGTGACACAGTGCAGCTCCTCTGCACTTCATGGTTTTCTGAGACCCTCTGGTCTGTGACACCATCATGATATTGGTCCCCTTTCTTTTGGATATGTGACATCATAATGGTTGTGTCCCACTGCTGACTGGTCGGTGACATCATGATGATGCTGCTCTGCTCAGTTGTCAGGTTTGTGACGCCACAGTGGTGCTGTTTTATTTTGGCTGGTTTGTGAATTCACATTGGTATTATTGAGTTGGATCTCCCGGCTGCTGTTTCACTCCTTTGTGGTCTAAGATATCCTCTCTGCTTATTCTCCACTGTTTTGTTGGTGCTCATAATGATATTTGAATGTATGTACTGAGGTTTTGTTGAATGATTGCTGTATCTTTCAGAAATAGAGCTTATTAATAAAGGTGAAAGGCATGTTTTACATTTTGGCTTTTCTCTTTTATATACTTTTAACCATTTTATACCATAGACCAGGACCACCGTGACTTTTCTTTATTCTTCTCATCTTTTTTACTTCAAAACTTCCTAAACCTTTGGTTCCAGCTAATTTTTGCTGCTGTGACATTCAAAACTGCTTCAAGTATACTCCTGTCAGATTCCTCACTTCAATCAGACACATTTTTGATGTTATCCTAACCAATTTTTAATTAAAAGTTGAAGGCAGAGCTTTTTAATGAATACCCTGGAAGAAAAATGGTATCACTTCAAAATAGACAAATCTCTCATCATTGAATGAAGGCTTTTGTTTGGGCAGCCAGACTCTTCCTGTCCACCTTTCTCCAACATTATAAATTATCAGACCTATTTTCAAACATCAACCACACCTCCAGAGCATCACAACACTCCAGCCCTCTCTGGCATTTAGATTCAAAGTAAACCTATTAAATATTAGTGCTGAAATGCATTTAGGAATATCATCAAAACGGATGCAGCTCTAGTTCTTAAGTGTATTAATGGAGTGCAATCTGTTTCACAGCTGAAGTGCTGTTTGTAAAGACGGTGCCTTCATTAATTAGCAGATAACCTTTATATAAGGCGTGCAGGCTAACAAAATGATTGGTTTGCTATTGTTGTATCTTATCCTTGGCGAATCACCTATTGTCCCTTTGAATAATTGAGACCAGTGGATTTTGCCTGTTTTATTTTTTCCTTGGTCAGCAACTAGCTACTAGTTTTGTCCCCAAGATCAATTGCCTTGGTAACACAACCAGAGAGAGAGAGAG